TTGAAACAATAAAGATGAAACAATAGAAGAAAAATTATATTCTATATGATTTGTCATTAATTATTATTATTATTATTATTTTGTAAATATTCTTACAAATTGAATTCCCTATATCTTTTTAATATATTTAGTTGTTTGTTGTAAAATATTAATTTAATATTAATCATTCTTAGACTTTATTCACATTTACCTTTTTTCTAAGACCTATAGGGCAAGTCTTTTATTCTCGAATCTCAAAAAGATCAAGAGATAATATTTTTAAATTTGTGCTATTTGCCAAATCTTTGATCGATCGTGGTAAGTAAGTTTTGTGTTACTTTTTTATTTTTGATATTAGATACAAAATAATAATAATTTTTACAAGATATACCACATAATTCTAAGGACTTCTGCGATGCATAATTTTTCTTTTTATTGAACTAGCTAAAGTGAAATTAACATTCTATCAAGTTTAGGAACTCACTTTTTTTTGTATCTCAAACACTTTCTTTAATACTACTTATTTTAATTCTTTAACACGATTGTCACGACCCAAAATCCCACCACATGCGTCGTGATAGCACCTAATCTCTAAGACTAGGTAAGCCGATTTCCATTACATTTCGAAACTATTTTTTTAAATAGAAACTAACAGCGGAAATAATTACAGATATAACAACCTCCCAAGACTGGTAATATTGAGTCACGAACTCTAACTGAATACATAAAATGATCTCAAGGATCGAATACTTCATACTGTTTGAATAATAAATAACAGTACAATAATATGGAAAGACTCCAAGTAACTGCGACGACCATGCAGCTCTACCTTGAATCCTTGCGATCCCACTCTAACTCTGTTTCGAGTCCGATATCTTCAATACCTGGCTCTGCACAAAAATGTGTAGAAGTGTAGTATGAGTACACTACGGTTGGTACCCAGTAAGTATCAAGACTAACCTCGGTGGAGTAGAGACGGGGTACAGTCAAGATACTCACTAGTCTAATAACCTGTGCAATATGATATACAAAATAATAGGAAACAAATAACAATAATGGCAACACAAACCAACCAATGATATGCACAACGGCAACAAGAACACCATTAATATCGCTCAACAAATAATAAATACAAGTACACTAAATTAAATCAAGTCCTTCAAATAAATATCTTTGAAATGTAATTCTTTCCATAAATCTCTTTCAAACATAATTTCCTCAAATATGTATCTTTCAAATATAATTCTTTCAATAAATAATTTTTGAAAAAATCCTTCCAAATAAATATTTTGAATATAATTCTTTCGATAAAAAGTCACCATGTGACACCCCATTTCATAATCATAAAAATACGGGTCTCAACCCTTTTTATATTTTTCGTAAACACGGGTCTCAACCTACTTTCATATTTTTTACGGCACTTCGTGCCCATAATTAAATCATCATATTTTCCCAGCACCTCGTACCCATTTTTCATATCACATCTGCACGGACAGTTTACGTGCCAATAATAAAACCATCATATTTTCCCCGGAACTTCATGCCCACGTTTCATATCTCAACTGCACGGACAGTTCACGTGCCAATATCATCATTATTTACTCACGGCACCTCGTGTCCACATTTCTTTTCATAACCCACCTGGCAATAGCCACAGGCTCCCAATTTCAACATAAATCTGACTATTATCAATTTACCAACAATAAAATAAATTGCACAAGGTATAAAAATAAACACAAGGAAAATCACAGCATCACATAAAATCACCAATGCAACTACTTCACATCATCACATATCATCTCTGGCAATAGCCATACTTATCTCTCCTATAGCTACCCTTATCACTCCTATAATAGCCTCCCTTATCCCTCTACCCTGAAAATATCAATAGCCACCCTTATCGCTCCTATAGCCACCACTATCTCTCCTATAGCCACCACTATCTCTCCTATAACCACCCTTATCGCTCCGCCCAGACAATATTCTAAGTCCCAACACACATAATAACAGTGAAATGCCTCCCTTATGCCCACATAATGTCAACAGTGAAATGCCACCCTTATGTCCTCAAAATAATAACTCAATTAACACAATAATTTACACGGAATATTATCACGGCAACGTAACAAAATCAACTCATATCACAATTTGACCAATGGCCACAATCAATTTTAAGGATATAATAAAATCAATTAATTTCACAAAACATAGCCCAAGGCTCCACATAATGTATATAAAACCTCAAAATCAATCAACAGAGATAGAAAATAGTCAGCATAGGGCAACACCTTCATTAATCCAAATTTAGATAATTATATTAACACTTCTTCTTAAACTTGCTTAATTAATTATTTGAGACGGAAAATTCATAATAAAATTAAATTCCAAGAAATATCGAATCATCAAATTCACGAAATTCACATAATTATACAAGTAATAATCACCTCAAATTGTTATACAAAAACAAATTCAATAAATGTGAATTGAAGCATGGCAAACAGATGATTAAATAAATGCCGACAAATATCCAATTTACTATACAATATGCCTAAGACTTTAATCCAATATATTTTACACATATAAGTCCGAGTACGTACTCGTCACCTCGCGTACACAGCTTTTTATATTTCACAAATGGCACATAAGACTCGATGCCTAAGGGGTAATTCGCCCACTCGAGGTAGGCAAGATACTTACTTTTTTGAAGTTAGGCCGATATTTCAAAATCGACTTCTTGCTTGAATTGACCTCCGGACAGCTCAAATCTAACCAAATTAATTGTACAACCTCATTAAAATTCATCGGAACACAATTCTGGATAATAATACGTCGACTTAAAAATTTATTCCAAAAAGTCAACAAAAGTCAACGCGGGACTCGCCTCTCGGAATTCGGCATAATTTTTACGAAACCCGATCACCCATTCCGATACGAGTTCAACCATACAAAAATTATCCAAATCCGACTCTGAATCGGTATTCAAATCCCAAAAATTTATTTTTATGAAATTTCTACAATTGCCCCCAAATTTTCATCTCAAAATACTGATTAAATGATGAAAGCATTGATATATTCATGTATGTTAACCAAATCTGAGTTAGAATCACTTACCCCGATGAACTTCTTGAAAATCCCACGAAAAATCGCCACAAATCGGGCTCCCAAAGTCCAAAAAATAAAATAATACCCTAACCCTCGATTTTATAATACACAATCTGGCCCCTCATTGTGCTGACTGCACAATATTTGTGCGGTCCGCACATTCCATGTGCTGCGGCCGCACTTCAATACTCTGCACTGCCAGGTTTCAGTAAAATACCCATAACTTTCTGTAAAAATGTCCAAATAATTCGTACTATATCTTTCTGGAAACTAGATTCAAGGGGCTACAATTTACGTGTTTGAATCATCTCCAAATTCGTTGTAGATTAAAAGAGATAAGCTTCCGAAGTCGGACTAGTGAACCCGCGAAAATCACGAGAAGTGCGGCCGCACACAAAATTGTGCGGTCCGCACTTGTCCTCTGAAGTGCCGAAATTCCCGGACTCGCTCAAAACTCACCCCGAAACTCATATGGAACCTCTCGGACACAAATCATATATGAATTTTAATCATAAAATACGCTACGGACCTGCTCGCGCACTGAAAATACTGAAAATAGGTAGTCTTGACCCGATATTGACCATGGCCAAACTCCCAAATTTCTTAACTTTACTAATCTCTCAACCAATGATCTAAAAATACACCCAAGCCCTTCGGTACCTCAACCAAATATACCAACACGTCCCAAAATACAATATGAACTTAGTGGAGGCTTCAAATCTCGTCAAACAACGTCAAAATTACCAATCGCGACTTGAATCGAATTATGAGTTTTCGAATCTTCAAACTTCTATGTTTTGCGCCGAAACGTATCAAATCAATCCGGAATGACTTCAAATTTTGCACATAAAGTCATAAATGATATAATGTAGGTATTCTAATTTTTAAAATCAGATTCCGGCCCCAATATCAAAAAGTCAACTCCCCGGTTAAACTTCCAAATAATTTTTCGGACACGCTCATAAGTCTAAAATCACCATACAGAGCTATTGGAATCATCAAAACTCTATTCCGGAGTCGTTTGCTCAAAAGTCAACTCTCCGGTCAACTCTTTTCTTTTAAGCTTCTTAAATAAGGATTGTTCTTTTAATTTAATTCAGAATCTCCAGTAAATCAAATTCGACCATACCCGCGGGGTTATAATACATATTGCGAAGCTGCTCGAGACCTTAAGTCACTGAACGGGGCGTTAATTCTTACAATGACAAGTCGGGTCATTACAACGGTATATTTGTTGATATAGGAAGCACGCGCAAAGCGCGTACCCTAAGAGTAGTATAACACCCTAAGAGTTGACAATCTCGAACGTGTCTATAGACCAAAAAAAAAATAGACTTATAGAAGGAGGCCATTGTGGTCCGGCCCTTCTCCGAACTCCACGCATAGTGAGAGTTTAGTGCACGAGACTGCCTTTTTATTTTTATTTTTTATATAGACTTATAGAAGGAGAGACATGAAAAGGTCAAAAGTTATTAATTTAAAGGCAAATAAATTCTTTATATCGAAATTTACTCTTGTAATTACATCTTTCTGAATTATTTCTTTTCTAAACACTCGTATAAGTTCAAAATTTACTACTATTTCCTTCCACAAAGAGATAATTACCTTTAGTTCAAGTGAATCCCTTTATTGACCAATTGCACCGTCTAAAACGATAAAACAACTTTTTTTTGTATATGTATAAATAGTTGAATTCATTTGATGTAAGCTAAAATCTTAAATTATTATCAGAAAATCAAAAAATAAGTCCACATTGGCTGCATAAAAATGTCAATATGTAGACCCTACTTAAATTAGGAAAGTGGATAAAGTGGATATATATATTTATCCCATTTATTTATTTTTTCTCACTCTTTCCCTAATTTTTTTTCCTTTTGTGAGGGAACAAATGGATAGATAGTACCTACACAAGGAATAGTACTGTTGACCCTCTCTCTTTTTCCTTTAATACTCTTTTTCTTCTCCTCTTTCTTAGGGTCTCAAGAAAAAAGTTTGAATCTTTCCCAGGTGATTCAACAAGAAAAAGGAAAAGAAAAAAAAATGGAGTTGAGAAGTAAATTTTTGCCTCAATTCAAGATTCAACAGCCTGAACTTACTTGGGTTTTCTCTAAACAAGGGAAAAATAAACCCCTTTTTGTTCTCAACATTTTTAGCAGGTATTATGATTTCCCTTTTTTTTATAAGGGTCCAAATTAGTTTGTGATTTACTTAAATAAAGTTGCATTTTAAATATATTTTTTTTTTATTTGTGATTCTGTATGAAATTGGTGGATTGGGTGGAATAGATTTATAGAATTCATGTAGCCGACCTGAACTAGCTTGTGATTTGCTTAATATCAGGAATTGAATTGGTTGATATATATGGAGCTAATGGTTTTTTAGAACTTAGTATTTCTTTACAAGGTTGAATGTTCAATAAAGTTTATTTTTTTTATTTGTGATTCTGAATGAAATGGGTGGAAGTGGAATTAGATGTAGGGGATTTACTTAATACCCAGATTGAATTGGTGGATATATATGAAGTTAATGGTGGTTTCAAAACTTGGTATTTATTTAAAGGTTTGAGTGTAAATAAAGTTGGTTTTTTATTTGTGGTTCTAAATGAAGTTGGTGCAATGGAGTGGAATAGATAGAAGATTTATATAGCTGACTTCAACTAGTTTGGGATTTGGTGATTTAGTTAATACCCAAATTTAATTGGTGAATATATATGCAACTATGTGGGATAATATTGGGTATGTTGTTGTTGTTGTTGTTGTTGTTGTAATATATATGCAGCTAATGGTTTTCTGAAGTTCGGTATCTATTTAAATGGTTGCTTGTAAATAAAGTTGGTTCTTTTATCTGTGATTCTGAATGAAACGAGTCCAATGGAGTTGTGTAGTCATAGAAGATTTATATAGCCGAGCCAAATTAGTTTGCAATTTACTTAATGCCAAATCAAATTTGTGGGATATACATGCAGCTAATAGCTTTCTTAAACTTGGAAATTTTTTAAAATGGTTGCTTGTGAATAAAATTGGTTCTTTTTTCCGGTTAACCAGATTGCAAACAGAGTGGTAGCAAAGAAGTTCTTTTAAATGATTTTATGTTTCCGAATAATTAAGGTTGGGCGTTGGACCATTTTTATAAAACGCTTGATACGACTTTGACGTGTTGTTGAACATTTGTGCAATGTATGTGAAAATCTCTAAATTTGTTTTTGGGGATAATGTTGTTGTCAAGAACATACCAAGAAAAGAGGCTTAAGTTCTAAAGATATCTTCTTCTTCATCCTATGAAAGGCAAAAGATTTATTGAGCTATATTCTTTTCGGCATCAAAAAAATCATCTAACTTCTGCCTTTTCTCTTCTCTTTGATGGTATCCAATTTGTTCCTAGGGAGGCTTTTCCCGTTTCATATGATAGATGGAAAAATATTGAAGTACATTGCAATAATGACCAAAGTATCCGGCAGACACCCCTGTCAAAGCAGGACAATGCAAAGTTACCCGAGCTATCTTTTAACCGGCTGCAGCAGACTGATGATGGGTACTGTGGATTGCAAAAGCGGAACTTTGGTCGTTTCATTGCTCGTGAGGCCATGCTGGATGAAGAATATTGGGTTTGTTCTGCTGCTTCTATGCTCCTCTAAATAAAAATGTCATGGCTCTTGTTTGTTACTTTTCCTAAAAGTATTTCGTATTTTCTTGTTTCTGTCTTATTGTCAATGGTAGACGGCAGCCTGGCTACGGGCAGAAGCTCATTGGGAATCTGTGTCCTATATGAGGTTAGAGCTTGCTCTTATCACTTGTCCCTCATATAATTAGGACTAGTTTAAAATTGTTTTCTAGATGTAAGTCTGAGTTATTATATGGTAAATATTAATTGTATTTTTGCTAATTTTAGGCATGTTGACGCATATAAAAGAAAGTATGCCGAACAGGTCAGTTGCAGTAAAAAACAACTTTTTGTTTGTTAGCAGTTAAACTTTTATTTGGTTGAAGTTTAAATTTTACCATCAAACATTTCCCCCTTTCCCTACGACTTAGAATAACAGTAAGCAGTTACATAGTTGTTTTAAAAATTGCCCCGTCTCATGGCTTAGCTCCAATGGTCTGTCCTATCATTACTTTTATCTATATCTTTAGGTTGGCAAGTTAGTAATAACTTCAGCGGGCCCTCACATATTTCTCGATGGAACCCATATAGAGATCACTGCATTATATCTATTTCTTAGTGTGAGAGCTCCTTATCATAAACAGTTTCTTATTCTGAGAGCTATTCTTCTCATGCCAACTCGTGGTTTGTATCAGTTGCGTGAGGCTGAAGTTTCAGTAATTGTTAGGCGACAAATGGAAGTTGTATCCTCTGCTATAAGAAGCCCGGTTCTGTAAAAGCGTTAGGAAAAATTCACATGTAAGATCGTGTGAGCTTGCATTTTCATGTTTCCGGCATTGGTTCAGTGCTTATGTGATTTTACTTAGACTTGACAAAAGAGGAAAAACAGATCTTTGCCTACTTCGAAATTTGAATAGGGTAATATTTAGCATTTGGGACTATAGGTTTCATTTGACGTCGAGCTTCAATGCCAATAAGTGAAATATTTTTCTAGGGTTGCTATTAGGACATAAGTTGGTAATTTTAATTGGAGAAAAGGTGTTTCACCTGGCTGATGACCTTGCATTTGATTAGACATGTAACATTTGATAATGACATATATTGGCATATATAAATAGCAACACCTTTGCTGTAATGTTCTTCTCCATTTGCATAAATATTGATCATCGCATGTTGCTCTAATTTCTGCGGCTAGTATTGCTTAACACCCTCATTTTTCTTTGCTTTTTTTCTTTTTGTTCCACTATCTGTGTGCAGGAGTTTTATGCTTTAAAGAGAAGATGTTCTGGTCAGGATGGAAATTGCTTGAAATGCTTTTGTTTTGTTGCGGTATGTATAGTGGCTTCTAGACAATTTCCTTGTTCTTCCTTAGTGTTGCATATGCACAAGTTGCAACCGGTCTGTGATAGTTGATTTAAATGGCTTTCTAACTTTCAGAGTTGCTTTCATTTTGCCATTGATTTTAAATGTAGTGCTTTGCATTTAGTCCGTCAATCTTTTGCATGTTGCCCATTTAATAGTATCTAATGTTCTTGGTGCATAAAGTCTGACAAACCAAGCTAACAGCTGAACTTTTCCGGTCGCCTTTGCTTTAGATGAGACCTCTTCATGTCATTAAGCTATCGAATACCTAAGTGTCTTATATATCATTATCTAACAACAACAACAACAACAACCCAGTATAATCCCACTAGTGGGGTCTGGGGAGGGTAGTGTGTACGCAGACTTTACCCCTACCCTGGGGTAGAGAGGCTCGGCTCCCTCCCTCCAAGAATTCCCCACCTTGCTCTTGGGGTGACTCGAACTCACAACCTCTTGGTTGGAAGTGGAGGGTGCTTACCACTAGAGCAACCCCCTCTCGTCTTATATCATTATCTAGAGTAAAGGAAATATTTTTCAGGCTATCAGCTATTTGTTACGTGTTCACTAATTTCCTGCTTGGACAAGAGTTAACTGCTTCTGACTTTAACAACTATTTTCTGATTAAAGAACTGCAAAAACACTTAAAGCTTGGATGTTTCTGGCAGACTTCAAATGTAGGAGGTAACGAATCTGCTCATTTGAGCAATTCCTTCATCCAATGTGAGAATGGATATGTTTAAATTTCAAATGTATTCGTACATTTTGAATTTTGATAGAAGATTCTTACTCTTTTGAGCAATTAAACTCCACCACTTTGTGCCAAGTGGCCTAATTCTTCTTCCAACAAGGTCTACTTCACGCAAAATATAATGTTCAAAGTGTAATAAGCATACTTAAGAATGTCTATTATTTACTTAAGATGATTGTCATATGATGTTTATTCTTTTAGAATTTGATATTTGCTTTCATATAAGTAAGATGATTGTTATGTGATAGTTATTCTTTCAAATTTGATCTTTATATTGGATATTCCTCAGCCTTCAAATATTTCAGGTCAAAAAGGAAGAGAAAAATGTTAGAAGAACAGTACTTAACAGCGTGGTGGGAACTTTGGACCTGACAATCCGACAATTTGTACAAAGGGAGAGATACCCAGGGGTACTAACTTAACCAAAATTTTAGCTGAATATTAAAGTTTTAATGTGTACTAGGGTAGTGTGGAACCTACTGAATTCCTTTTCGTCTCATTCTCTCCAGGAAATCAAAAGGTTATCAGCTGTCTTGGCATGTCAAGATCCCTTTGATTCACATAAATACGCTTACATTGCAAATGTCTGTGTTGCAAAGTTTGCTCGACGTCAGGGTATTGCTTCAAATATGATACATTTGGCTGCTGATGCGGCCGCCTTACAAGGTGCCTCGTTTCAGCTTTAAACTATTTAAAATGCTCTTCATACAGATTTACCTGTTCAGAATTGCCGTCCCTCTTAATTAATTTCGCTGAACTACTAATCTTATTTTCTGCGTGTACAAGCAGGTTTCAAGCAACTATTTGTTCATGTAAATGCAGACAACATACCTGGCCAGGAACTATACAAAAAAACTGGCTTTACGGTTAGCTTTCAATCCGTTTTTCCATATACTGAGCATCTGATTGCTAGTGTGTAGTGCCGTATATCTGTGTATGCGAATGATTATCTTTTATTAGCCTTTTTTTTTCTTTTATGATAAGCGAACGATTGTTTTCGTTAGTGTGTTTTTTCTTTTCAAACATCTTAATGTCTACATTATGTCCCTCATAATCATCCGAAGAGTTGAAGTGCTATTTGTGACCGTAAAACATTGTTAATAGACTGTTAAGCTATCCAATTTCAGTTGTGAGGGACCAGAAAATGAAGGTTTACGTTTATCTAATGAAACTCTTTCTTGGCACATTTTTAGAGAAAGTAATTTGGAATATGAAGGATGCCAGATGGAATGCCGAAACTTATGGAAATAAAGCCACATGAGACTGGGTGGATAAGAGAAACCCAAATTTCCTTGTTAATAGGAGCTATTTTACTTGTCACATGGCAACACATAATGCTCAAAAAGTCGAAATAGTATAGCATAAAACAGCTGTTCATGGAGTTCTATTTTGTGATTTCCTCCTCGTCACTTCAAACAATAGATTTTGGTTACACTTAGTTTGACAGTTGTTATTTATGAACGCTTTCTTAATGTTTGAACCGTTGTTTGTCTTCAGCCTCATAATTCATGATCTATGCTCCAGATAAATTCATTTGGAGATGTATTCTGGTTGTATCAGTTAGTTAACAGTGTTATTCATTCAAGGAGCAAAAAGAGTTTATGTAATCTATATGAAACGAGCTCCTAATAGTAACACTCATTCAAGGAGCAAAAAAATTTAAGACTTAAGACATAGTAATGTATATGGAATCAGCCCTTCGCGCTACATCACAAAACCTCTTCAGATGAGTTTAAGTTTTGTGGACTGATTATGTATATATTATTTACACCATCAGGTTAAGCCTATAACAAAGGGAGCTCTTCGTAGAAAGTCATAGCAAACCCAATACAATAACCTGGAAAGTAGAGTAATAACTTGCTATAGCCGGTTAAATTGAATTTATTGTGTAATTGTTTTATACTGTATAACTTAAATCCTTTTGAAATTGCTTACTTCTTAGCCTTCTTTTATCTTATTCTGTTTGATAATTAATTCTATGCAGATTGTTGAAGAAGCTTCATCATCTCTATCAAAAGAACAGAGATTACTTATGTCCTTGGAATTATAAGTTCCATTGCTACTTCACTGCCTGACTAAAGAGGATGTGTTAGTTTGTATATCTTTGAGTAGACAACTAATTGTAATATATATGTTTAGAAAATTGTATGATTTGTATGAGTTGGGGCTAGCTCAATTAGTAGTGAGTGAAAGCTATGTTACATGGACTAGGGAACGGGTATGTATTGGATACGCGTTATTTATGTATCCAATACAAGCGCGTACAGTTAAATTTTTAGTGTATTTTAAAGAATTCAAACTATGTATTTTGTACTCGTATCAGACATTTCAACATGAATACGTCAAAGACAAATGAAGAACTCATGTAACGTAGGTTGAGAATTATTGTTATTATCTTCTTATCTAAAAGGATCTTTATCATTTATTTTCTTACAATGCTGAGATTGATATGAGATTCAAATACAACACCAATTATGAAAAATGATTCGCCAGATTAATCATGTTTACAAATTAGTTTGCTATATACTTGAATTGGTAATTGAGTAAATCTACACATGTACGATACTCCTAAATAAATACTAGTATGACTTTTTAATAAAACATGCTAGATTTTAATTTCAAATTTAATCTTATTATTCGACTTTTAACCTGCATAATCTTTGACAAGTGTTTTTCCATATGTTTATAAGAAGCAACTTTATATAAATTCTTAAGCATCCAAAAAATATATTTTTAATTTTCTAATTTTCTCTAAAAATAGATCTAATTGACAATCAATAGGACTAGTTTTTCAAGTCAACTCTCAATCAATGGACCAATACGCATATACTTAAACTATTCAATCTAATATAAGAAGGAACTGTAGTGTAATTTGCCCCAAATATTTCCATTTCCCTCTCATAAAACCCAAACCCCTTCCCTTATCCCCTAGCTACAGCTTCAACAGTTCTTTATAATTTCCCCCGCTGTTTTCTCCGGCAATTGTATTCACAGGTATGGTATTCTATATCTGAAGCAATAAGGGTTTTGTTTCTTTTGACTTTCTATAAATATATGTATATATTTGAAAATTATACAGTCGAAAGCTCATGTATTTGAATGTCCAATTATTCTTGTTTCAAATTTAGTCATGAAATCATATCTCTATGTATCCTTTTATTTTGTAGTATAGATAATATATGCCAGTACCACTAAAATATGTGTATGCTTCTTTATTACTGTATTTCTTTTTCTAAACTGCTGTGACTATGCTTGCCTGAGCAGACAATCTATTGAAAACAAACTCTCTACCCAGTGGCGGATCTAGTATTTAAACTTTACGGGTTCAACCTTTAAGTTTTTTAGCAGAACTCATTGTATTTTTAAAGTTACGGATTCAGAGCTACTATTTATTGCAATTTTATTAGATTTTTACGCATAAATTTATGCTCAGCGTCAAAAGTACTGGGTTCTACCCGGTACTAATATGTTGCATCCGCCTCTGTTGCCTGTACAAGATAGGGTTAAGGTCTGCGTACACACAATCGTCCCCAGACCTCACTGGGTATGCTGTTGTTGTATGGTAGTACTCCTTTATAATGTTTTAATTTGTATATCTGCTGATTGGTGCAGAGAAAAATCGTTATGAACATTGGACAGAAATAATGTTGATCCCTTCTCGTATTGTGACTTGATACGGATTAACTTTCTTTGCTTACCTGGTTAATGAGCCTAAGTTTGCTCACTTTTAGTGGCTCAAATTTTGTGGATTTAACCTTAATTTGCAACTACGTCCAAAGGAATTTTTATCATATGTTAAATACAGCATAGGCATGTTTTTGTTTTGGGAAAAACGGCATGTTTTGTGGCTCTGGTAGTTCTATGTCCCCAGTGGAGGAAATGATCCAAAGGGAGTATTGAGTAGAATAGTAATCTTAGAAATGCAGTATTTTTAAATGCTTGTTAACTTCTATACGGTGAGCTCACCTAATTATATCAGCTTTGTAGTCATTTCCAAAGGAAGCTGAAAACCGGTGTTAATCCGTTTGTTCATAGATTTGGTTTCAAAAATTTGAAATAATATTTGACTATATTTTTCATGCTGTGCCTGCAAGAAAATAACACTAAGATGAATTTCTTTTAGCATTTATAATTGATCAAATTCAATTTCACGGCTGTTCCCCTCTGTGTGTGGCCTCTTTATTTCACGAGTCAAGTGGAAGTTAGCTTTGAGATTGGGTATCTTGTGATCTCGTGACTTTATTGACTGGTTCAGTGGAAATAGCACTTGTATGAAGTATTTTAAATATTTTATTCAACAATTTTTCATGTCTGCTCATTAGAAGGTGAAACATATGAGTTGTTTGATGGGGATAAATGGTCTCTGATCAACTGCCATACTGGTTGCTGGTCAAAAATGGCTTTTTTGAGATTCAAAATATTAATCGTTGGGCTTGTTATTTGTCCTGCATTAGTTTTTAAATAAAAGGAGCTAGGCCGATTGTATTTACATAATCTGCTTTTGATTTATAGGGAAAGTTCGTATCGTGTTCAGAGAAAAGAAAAAGGAGAATCTGATTTTTGTATTCACTTGGCTTGTGCTCTTACTTTGTGAGTGGTTTTTACAGTATCTTATTTTTTTGCCGCGCTCTTTCCTGTTCTCTTTATCTATGGCCGCACTTATGTCTGCAGTTTTGGTCACTTTATGTCAATGAGAACTTTCACCTGTCTATTTATTTAAGTAGTTAGTCATTTATTAATTATTATTAAAAATAGGCTATGATATTACTTCTTTTGTATTATACATTCTTACCTGGAATATGATTTGTTGCCTACAGAGAGTTGTTTTCAGACATTTGTTTTGGGTGTACTAATTTCATTGCTATGCTTCAATTTGCTAATTTGCTTGAGTTTTATAATTGCAGTGCCAGCCTCTTTCTATTAATTTTCTTTCTGCCAGTTGCAGAGGCTTAATCTGAAACTGTTTGAAAGATAATGGCAAAACCTTCCCAACCACCTCAAAATGGGAAGGAGGAGATCAAAGAGATTGATACTGCGACCGCCAGCAACGATAATGAGAGCAGCAAAAAGAAGGTGACAAGAAAGTTGCCAAGCCCGAAAGAGCTTGTATCACACTATGAATCGCAAGGTATGGACTCTCAAGAAGCTTCCTTTAAGGTTATTGACGATCTCCAGGGTGCTCTCTTCAGGATGATCAGCACTTCTCGAAATGATAAGAATCGCAATAATAGGAATATGTCATCCGAAACCTCCAGAAAGTTGGATGTCATAAACGCTCGACTTCTTAGCCTTGATATGAAAGTTGACTCCAAGCCAGGCTACCCTCAAGCCCTTGCCATTGGATTGGCCGCTGGTGGCCTTCTTCAAGTGCTCCCTCGTGTTGCAAATTCGGTTGTCCAAATTTGGAATACTGTTAGAAGTGCTTCAAACTCAAGTCCTAAATCTTGTTGATTAGCATGTTTGCTTCTAGTCATGGTACTTCTACTTTTGAAGTAGGAATTTTGTTGAATTATGATTGCCGGAAAATAGAATATTGTAGGGGCCTTTCTTCATTACGAATGTTGTGCAACCTTTACTGACCCGAGGGTCCGTCGGAAACAGTCTCTCTACCTTCACAAGGTAGAGGCAATGTCTACGTATACACTGCCCTCCCCATACCCCACTTGTGAGATTTTGTTGTTGTTGAATGTTGTGCAACCTAGTGCCATGAATCTTAGCATGTATCACATTTTTGGCTGTTAATGCCAACTACTAGTTCCATTCTTATTCTATTGTCAGGCTACTGGAGTATCAGTCAAGGTATTGTTGCTGGAGTTTGTAGGTCTCTGCATCTATCACTTGTTTTACTTGGCAAAGGGCATATTGCTAGTTGGTTTTTTGAAGAAATGTCCATTGTGTTGAAAATGGGAGCTTGGCCCTAACTAGTAAAGTTACTGTCATGTGACCAGGAGGTCACAGGTTCGAGCTGTGAAAATAACCTCTTGCAGAAATGCAGGGTAAGACTGCGTACAATAGATCCTTGTGATCCGGCTCTTCCTCGGATTCCGCGCATAGCGGGAGCTTAGTACACATGACTGCCCCTTATGCCCATTGTGTTGAAAATGTTCATATAGGTTTGCCACTGCCTTTGTAAACTAGTAATTTGAAAGCAAGATGAGACACATTCTTCATTCTTGCAAAGATATTTGATGGAGAGAGAGCCATGGGCGGACCTATAAGTTATAGTTTCATTCGAAATCAATAACTTTGCTCGGACTCATACATGTTAAGGAAGATAATTTTGTAGGAAGAGCTACTCCCTTTCGAGGATAATTTTGTAGTATTTTCCACATTATTAATTGCTTATATATTCGGGGGGGTGTCGCTATCGTTTCTCTAAAACCAACGTAGGCACACAGCCAAAGGGGATAATATAAGCACGCCGAAAAGTACCTTCGATTTGACGGTTTTGTACATACACTAAATTTCAGCAAATCTCCACTTTCCATATTGTAGTTATCCTTGGTCAACGTTTCTGATCTTTCCACGTCATCCATATTTATCCTCTAAATTTTCCATTTTTCGTTTTTTTTTCTTTCTTCTCACTTTCCATCTCTGCCCTTTTCTGCTCCCCAGCTTGTTTTTCCAGCTTTTTTATATATATAAAAAGTACTCATAATCAATATGATGATCGTACATTAATTTAGATAGAAAGAAATTCATGATTTTAACTTAACATATTCAATTTTTAACAATTTTTTCAGAAGTTTTCACATTAAAATTAATACATATTATATCAAAAACATTGAATTTCAATAATCATGATATAAAAGTAATGAATTCGTCTTTAAATTAGATGTCCGAACAAGAAATCAGGAGTATTAAAAAAAAAAAAGATAAATACTTATCAAACTTCGTCTTTTATCAAATTAAATAATTTAATCTTATAGTTAAAATTAAAGTGAAATGTTATACGTTTTATATATAGAAAATAATAAATGTGCATATAAAATATTAATATATATTGTATTTATTAATGTGGCGTAAATATGAAAGTTTGTACGTATTAAAAAGAAAGTTATCCTTAGCTCAATGGAGGGCAATGATGGTAAATAACTCAAAATAGTGTGTCTTATTATTTTAAGCCACCTCCAATCTCACCTTCTCCATTAATAAGTCTGACAGGATACTATATAAACCCAAAAGAGAACGTGACTCCTATTACTTTCTCTCTCTATATATTTACGTACACATGTATATTCAGTAGCATTATTGGTGAAGACATGGGGAATGCGAACGGAAGAGAAGACGGCGCCGTCGTTGGCGGAGGAGGTGGCGGTGTTGATGAGGTGTCGGGAAGAAGATCCAGTAATATTCAATCTGCAAATATTGGTGAAGATCACGCTCGGACCACGCGCGTGGCTTCAGCTGACTTAATGGTCAATTCTCCTCCGCAAAGTCCACATCGCTCTGCTTCACCTCTCTTGTTCGGACCTCAGGTTTCCATTTTTCTGTTACTTTTACTGTTATATATGTGTGTGTGTTTCTTTTTGTGTGTGTATATGCGTGTGTGTGGTGGTAGTTTCGGAGGCGGATTTAGGATTTGAAGTTGTTGTGTAGTACAAATGATTTGAATTTAAGCATAAATATATACTTGCATTATAGGAACAGTGCGTGTTTGAGTGTTGGCCACGAAGCATTAGAGTTTAAATTTGCAGTTTAAAACCATATACAGATAATTTTGTGGCTATAAATCATGTAATTAATGCTAAAATAAGAAGTTCAAAGTTAAATTCTTTCTAAATATAGTAAGGTATTATTTTTTTGGGACAGACTAAAAAGTAAAACATCACATAACTATGTCTCTCAATGACAATATTCTGTAATAATGATGCTTAATGCATTCCGGAGCAAGAGGCGGTTGAAAAAAATTTATGCTTCAATCATAGTAGGATTATTGAAATCTTTTAGTGAATCCTTAGTCAAGTGGAATTTGGAGTTGATGCGAGCTTTGCTCTGATTAAGGCAATTTTTCTTCACAATAGTTGATTTTTTATTTTACAAACTGATACTTGTTGATGAAATTAGTTTAAATTCTTCTTGGTGAGGCTCATACACTGGAGAGATGTAAAGGTTCTAACTCTTTTGTCTTAGCTCTCTTCACTTAACAGATTTGAAATTCTGTTCATCTGTCTAAACAAAGGCATAAAGCTTTAAATTTTGTGCTCATGCATTTTGATTTGGAAATAGGAAGTCGAGTTATTTAAGATACATGGATAAAATGGTAGTAATAGATAAGAACATTCTGTTTTTAACAAATTTAGAATAATAAATCATGAACGATAAAAATTCAAATAGTGAATAGTATAATCGTCAAATTAGGCTTATATATGTGTTGCTTGATGAGTAGGGTAGATTTAGGGATGGGGAGGTAGATGAGATAAATAATTCACTTCAGAAATCCCTTATGGAATCGCTTACTATTTTTGAATTTCAAAAAAGAGATCTGAGGATGGAGCTAGAGGAGAGGTGTTTTATGGATATCCCTAGTTACTAGTCCAGAACTATGTTCATTTTATTTGCCTATATGTACCCATGTCGAGCAGGAGTGATGGTATTCATATGTTCCGTGTGGAAACTTCGGAATACAATAGAAATTTGCAAAAAGTTCCTGTTACTTGCACCTGTATCAGCTACGTACGTAATTGAGTCCATGTAACATAGTTCATATTGCTTTAATATGTGGTAATCATTGCCATGTAGAATCAGATCTTCCCTAGTTGGGTTACATGTTATTGGCTTCTTGGAAACCAATAAGCTACTGATTGCTATTTGTTCACTTATGCAATTCAATGGGTTTAATATCCCATTCAGATGGAGATGGAGATGGTGCTGGAAGATAGAAAATAATAGAGTTTTGCAGAAAACAGTGGAGTGAATACATTCGGAAAGATTGATAAAAAACTGAGATGGACAGATATGATAGATGGAAGAGGGGATGGTGGGCTTTGCTATGGGTTACATGGATCATTGGCTAATTGACACATCTACTGCTGCCTCTTGAAATCTACTTATGTATTTGGCTAGAAATTTGATAGAATCTGATACCCATAAGTCACAGGGAATTGGGTTTTTTCACAAAGATTCACAAAGATTTGAATCAGATTCATTCCCAGACCCCACGGTGTGGGATAATACTGGGTATGTTGTTGTTGTTGTTGTTGATTTGAATCAGATTCATTATTGTGCATTTCAGATCCCTTAGCCTAAGTGAAGCCTTAGATCATATGTCCTTCATTTTTAGACTTGTCATAATATCATCTGATGCATCTGGGTGATAATCCCTGCAGTTACTTTTGGTGCCTATGGACTGAAAGGAATCGAAGATGGTTTGATGGAACCTCAACTCCAAATCACTCTCTCAAAGCTAGATGTTTGATTGATCTTTCTTGTTGGACTAAGTCAACCCCTGTAATTAGCACCGACCATTTTTTGGACTTCGTTAGCTCCCTTGTTTTAGATTGACACATTGGAAAGGGCTAACAATATTGTACTTCTGTTCTTTTGTGATTTTGCATCTCCTTGATGCCTTTTAATGAAATACCTTCATCAAAAAAAAAAACATCATCTGATGCATCTGACTATGTGGCCACTATCCCTCGCATACCTTTTTCCTCCAGTTGGATATCCCATTGACTTGGGGTAATTTGTGGGTATGGCTGCACGCATTGCATGAGTAAGTATGTGGACCTTGGTTGTGACAGTACTTTTTACCTTTTTCCTCCCTTGTCTCCCCTAATTTGAGCTCTTCCATTCTTCAGGAAAGCTTTTCAGTTTTGGGGGTTCCTGTTAATATAATTTTTTAACGTTTTCTTTTTGGGATTTGGTTTGTATTTTTTATTATCTTGGTTNGTTTCATTTGATTACTTGTATGACTGTGCTTATGAGCTTCATGTATTTTGTTTCCTTACTGTAGAAGCACTAAGAAAGTGCATCTGTATACAAGTTTTCAGTATAGTGGATATACAAGTTTTTCCTGAGTTCCTATAAAGTATTTAGTAACTCAAAAGTGTTTCCAAGTTGTATACATCTTTCAATTTTCGTCCAAAAAGCAAAAAAGTATTAGTATATATGTTACGGCACGTGATGCAGCTTCATTCTTCTCAAAACACCTACTGTTTCTTTCTCTCAAAATGAACCATAGTATGCAGGCATGGGTTGTAATCGCAAAGGCTCTACGTGATATTTGGTTCTTTTCTTCACATCTAGCTCCAGACTGCTTCCCTCGAATTATGTGGCATTCGCCACTTTACATTGGATAAGTAAGAGAAAATAACTCTGAAGCTATGGTACAATTTGAATAGGTGATCTGTATATTCTGATGAACATATAACACCTCGTGCACATAAGCAATAGTCTCTTCTGGAGGCTTGATTGGGTGAGACAGCCATCTGGAGTTCCAGACAAAAAAACCCTCTATTTTTAGTGGGAATTTTCTTCCATACCCTGTTCCAAGGACAAAACTCTGTTGCATTCCTTCCTGCCGTTAGATATTGATAGCAGGACTCCATAGTGAAGTTAACATATTTTCTGGCTTTTCATCTCAAAAATGGTTCTGTGGCTGATGAGTTTAATTTCCTGTTTGCTTATGTGGTATTATTAACATTTATGCTGTTATAATCAACATTGTCGCTCCAACTATGCCTTTTTCTAAATGGCCAAGAAGGGAGACATGTGTCTTTGAGGTTGGCCAATAACCAAAAGCAAGCACCTTTTATTTGTAGTTAACTTG